AGTGCACAAATGAAGCCTCAATGTGTCACATTCATTTGAGAGAGGACTTCCAGCTTTAATATTTTATGCAAAGTATACATTTCTATGTATCCACAAGTGTTGAGCTTCATTTTTTTAACAAGATAATTTTAATAAACTCAAGATCAAATATATCATCATATGCTATCTACTTTTGTTTTATTTGGAAATGTATTCATCTTTATTTTTAAGTGTGTGGGTACTTTGCCTGTGTGTATGACTGTGTACCATGTACGGGGAGTCTAAACAAGCAAAGAAGAAGAGTGTCAGATACCTTGAAACTGAAATTACAGATTGTGAGTGCTCTGAATTGAACCTGGGTCCTCTGAGGGAACAATCAGTGCTCTTAACCACTGAGTTATCTTACCATGCCCTACTTAAAAATATTCTGTGCATGCAAATTTTACAGAAAGAAATTTTATGTAGCTCAAACTTTTAGTTGTAAGATATTTTCATCTCTGCAACACATAAAATAATCTCTCAATTATGCCAATGAACAATCAAACACCACAAACAAATAACAAGCCAAGTACAGCACTTGTAATAGAGTGGGTCCTTGATGTTTTTCTACCTTCCTTCTTCAAAAGCAGATGTTAGCAGCATTTATTATGTAAATATAATCACATACTTTTATGTTTAATGTGATTAATTCTATGGTTCAAATTCCAGTTGATTCCCCTTCATATTTTACCATCTCTCAATTTAAATGTATAGTTACTTTTTCAGATATGAGGGCACATTTTTATATAGGTTTTATGTTTATTAGAGTGCATGTGTGTTTAAGAATGTATGAATATATATGCATGTGTGCAAGCAGCTTCATGTCCATAAATATGCATTTATGTGAGGTCAACCTTGGCTGTTCTCTTCATGAGACATTCATCTTGTTGATAGGACCTTGTCTTTCATTGGCATGGAGTTCCTTAAGTGTGTTTATTTCCTACACAGTGAACAACAGGGATTAAACTATCTCTGGCTCCCTAGCACTGGAATTACATACATGTACCTTAAACCTGGCTTTTCTCCTACATCGGATCAGGGGATCTAACTCAGGTCTCAATGAACTGGCTATACCCCAAAACAGTATTTTTATTTAATAGTTTGTGAAACACTGGTGTAAACTCCCATAAGGTCAAATCATAATGAATGGTTCATGTTTATATACCCATGTTTATTTTGTAATCCTTCAAGGTATGAAGACAAATCTCATGAGCATCTACAAAATATCTTCTAAGTGACAAAAGAACTCTCTACTGCATGAAGATCGGGGCCTTTCCTATACCTGTATCCACTTTTTCCTTAAGAGCACACCAACTCTTGTTGGGTAGCTTTTTTCTCTAATCTCTTGGCATTGTTATTTAGAGAGAGATTAAATGAAATAAAATGAAATGGCAGTATGTGATAATATTCGTGTCATGATCGTTTATCACAAACTCTGAACACATTTATGGAAGTTCTGATGGAAGAGTGTCTGTGATACTTAGTAGAAGATCTGATGGAGGAGTGTCTGTGATACTTAGTGGATGGTCTGATGGAGGTGGATTTGTGATCCTTAGTAGAGGGTCTAATGAAGGAGAGTCTATAATGCTTAACACAGACAGATTTTGCTTTCCTCATATGTCTCTTTCTGACATTATCTACTATCTTGGTACATATTTTCATCGGCTTCTGCACAGGGACTATAACAGTAATGATTACTACTCCAGTCACCATAAATACATGGTTCTTGTTCTTTAATCTCTAGTTGCTATTCATTGTCTCTCCTAAGGAGCCCACAGGCTTATGGTCCAGGCATCATTAACATGAGTTCTGATCACAGTTAAGAGGATATAAATTGATAAGAAGTTAGTTAAATTTGATAAAATCAGCATCCTTGAAAGGTAAGCTGATTTTCCAGGGCTATAGAAATTTACTGAGAATAGTGTTATATAGTGTGAGAATGCAAAACAATCTCAATAACACATAGTTTGCACTGATATGTTTCTTGTATTACTTCTTGAACTTTATGAATATGTATGCATTTATGCAAATCACATAAGTATCTTCCTTGAAATTTTTTTCGTATCATTGAATATTTTAAATATGCTGGTAAATGCCAATGGCTGTGTAGATTACTACCAGTAAATAATTTAAACCCTATACCAAAGATTATTTTCCATATAACTTGAAGGACATATATTCAGTTATTAAATTTTCAGTCAGTAATATATAGTCAAATAGTTATAGGTAGAATTCTTGGTCAATGGGATAGCTCCAAGGGTAAAGACATTGTCAACAGGCCTAATGAACTGATTTGAATTCCTGGAAGAAATGTGTTAGAGAACCAATGTATTTAAGCTAGCCTATGATTTCCATAGGTATGTCAACGCACACATGTACCGCTCTCTGTGTCTCTTGCATACAGACACACACACACACACACACACACACACATACACACAATCAATCAATAAAATGGAAGACAAAAAAAAACTTTTGCAAGACTCTGTTTCTAGATACAACAGGGATGCTACACTTATAGATGAAGAGCAAATATAGTTCTCAGAGATGGACAATTAGTCTTCTGCATATACGAGCACCTTTAATAGTTAATTTATCCCAATCGGTCATCCCAAAAAGCATACAAGCAACATTAAACAGACCCAGTAAGCTATATTTTTGTTTCTATTCATATTCTTAAACAGAGAGAATGAGAAAGAGATAACGTTTATGTGGAAATATTAAAGAGGCCATGAATTTGAAAAAAAGTGCTGGAAATATGGGTGATGTTTAAAAGAGGAGAGGGGTGACTATGTTATACTTGTTTTAACTAAGAAAAATATCATATACCTAAAAGTAGATTTTGAGTTTGGCAAAATAATCTCTGTAAGATTAATTTGCAAAGTAACAAAATACTGAGGTTTAAAATTAAAATTAAATTTAAATATTTTAATGATTCATTTCTGTGCCTTCTTGTGTATAGGCAACAAGGAAAACAACATCAAGACAAAGACAAGAACACTCATCTTCACACCTTTGATAATGCACTTAGATTAACTTCATATTGGATCTTTCAGTGCCTAAAACAGATTTTTTCTGTCTAAACACAAATTTTCATTGGAGATAGACAAATACTCTTTAGATATTAATAAAGCCATTATTTTAGATATTTTAAAAGGACAATTATACTACACTCACAATGTTTAGTATTAAATTTTATTTAAAATTTTTCCCTCAGCATACTAAAAAGAATATTAACAATTCATATACATCCAGGTAGTTTTGGTTTGACTCCACAACTTTTGCTATAGCCAACTGACACCAAGATTTGTAAATGCTTATACCTTCCAACACCAATTTAGTGTATTTTCACAATGCAAAGATACAATATATATTATCATCTAAAAATATCATTTTTTGAAGTGTTTATTTTTCAAATTCATAAAATAACTTCTGTGTGTATAAATTTTGGAGCTCCTGAATCTTGGTCCTTTAGATAATCAAATATAGAAGTGATTAATGTATGCTGTGATACATCGAGGGTATGTCAGATGGTCATTTGGAAAAAGACATTACTAGTAAACATGTTGGGAAGGATGGAATCAGTGAGATGCAGCAATTTCAAGGTTTCTTAAGTTAACAGTTTGCAGTGTAATGTATTTTAAATCAAGTTTAGAAACACAGAAACACTAAAGACAAGTAAGATAGAAAAGTTATCTCAGTTTAGCATATTCTAATAAGTTCAATTGTCTTAAGGGATGAATGTTTAAAGTTCCAATGCTCACACATTTTAAAGTTCACTGTGTTTTATTCTGCTCTATGTTACACCATGGCTGCTGTTTGAAAACAGATTCACTATTTCACCTTTCCAACTACACGCTTTGATGATCTATACTTCCACTTTTACCTATTCCATTTTAGGGGTGAAAACATGGCTAGACTCCATGGGAAAAATAAAGATTATCCAGAAGAACAACAAGCCAGAAAGTAGGTGAGCTTGAAGCCCTGTGCTAGTCTGCTTCCTGTTCATGTAACAAAATATTCAAGATACTTACAGATTAAAATATTATTTGGTTATAGTTTTAGAGATTTCGGGTTAGGGTAAATTGACTTCCTCACTTTGGGTATGTGTTGAAAATTATATCATGATAGAAATGTGATGGCTCAGAGTTTAAGAGCACTGTCTGTTCTTCTAGAGGTCCTGAGTTCAATTCCCAGCAACTACATGTTGGCTCACAACCATCTGTAATGAGATCTGATGCCTTCTTTAGGCATACAGGCATGTATGCAGATAAATCACTACATATATACTAAATAAATAAATCTTAAAAAAGAAGTGTGTGACAGATGTGATTGGTTTTAACTGTTAATGTGACAGAGTCTAGAATCACCCAGGAGTTGGCCCTCTGAACAAGACATTGGGGGACAATATTGATTATTTCAATTGAGATAGGAAGAAACATCCACTGTAGGGGCACCATTTATTGTGTGGGATCCTGGACTGTATAAATATGGAAAAGAACTGTGTGTAGGCACACATTGTTCTCTCTTTCTTTAGTCATTTCAGTTTCTCCCTGCTTTGAATTCACTGTTTTATGGACTGTGCTTGTAAGCCAGAAAAACATAAGATGTCTTACTTAGTTTTGTATTGCTATGAAGAGACAGATGACCCAGCAACTCATACAAAGGAAAACATTTAACTGGAGCTTGCTTACAGTGTCAGGGGTTTAGTGCAGTGAGCATGACAGCAGAGGCAGACATGGTAACTGCAGCAGTCGGAAGAGGGAGACACTGGGACATGCTTAGGATTTTGAAAATAAGGAGTTATCAAAAAAAAATTACCTGACAGGAAAACAAAGCAGCTGAGTAGACTGTAAGCTCTTATGAAAACATTTTCATAAAACTATGTTGAATATCTTAGTAGTATTTTTTGTTAAATCTTCATCTTGTGTAACAAAGAAAAGTTCAGGGCTCTAAGCAGTGGCCTTCAATGCAGATCTCACCTCCATCGTTGCCACAATCATAGCCACCAGCACCCTGTGTTCTCAGGCCATGCTCATATACTCCGGGCAATGTTGAAGGGACACATTAACATCAAAAATGACCTGCAAAACATATTCGAGGGAAGTGGGCCTGTGAATGTGGCAGCTTTCTCTTTTACACTCATTATGATACACTCTGTGCATCCATGTTTTAGTTTTCTCTTTGTTTTCACTGGGTCACTTCCTCCATGGGTGTATTTTATTTGCAGCCCACTTGCTTATCACTGTTCTTACTTCTTTAAGGAACCCGGGTAAAAAGAAATACAGAGGTGACCAAGGTAGCAGCTGTCAACAACTAAGTTAACCTCATTCAGAACATCCAGGTTGTGCTGCTGGAAATCCTACAACTTGGGCCACACCTGAATTATGGGATGTAGATGATTCTAGAACTCATAGTATAGAAAGGAGAATGGAAAACTTGAGCAGGTCTGAGTCAGTGAGTAAGTCCAATCAACTCAGTCACTGGAGCTCAGAATAAACTGTGATGTCCTCTCCCTCAAGTGCCTAATTCCTTTTAGATCCTCTCACAACAAGAGTAATTTAACCATCTCCATATATACTTTTGTTTAACTTAACACATATTGAAAACCCATTTATATAATTTTGCCTTATAAAAGTGAAAGCGCTGCATGAAACATCAATATCTCTTTGTCCCCCTCCCTTGCTATGATTTGTCACTAATAGGATCTGCTTCTCTTTATTGCGGGGCCCATTGATGGTGCTCGTGCATTCATCTCAGCCAATTTTAGAAAACATGTGTTTGAAATGATGGCATTCTCTTTATAAAGTGGTTTTAAGGTGATGTTAATTGATAGAATCTTATTTGCCCCAGTTCCGTATTTTATTGTAAATTAAAACATTCCTTCAATAGATGTAGCTAGCAGATACTGCCTCCTTTTATGGTACAGTTTAACAATATGTAATGTTCTTGCAATCTACAGAGCATAAAAATAGCTTTCTTTTGTTATCACTGGAGAGTTTTCTAATTTATTCTTCTTATTAAATCTCTTAGAAAAAGTAAAAGAGTGAAATTTGTGAATTACCCTGTATTAAAGACAACCTCACATTCTTTGCACAGGAGAATAGCGCATTAACACATACTTTGAAATAGGGCATACAGCCTTAAGAAAGAATAGTATGCAAATATTTATGAAACAATATTAACAATTAAATGAAGTTAATGAGGACTTCAAACAAAGTTGAATAAGCTCTTGTTGTTGCTAAAATAGGTGGAAAAGAAAGGATGTAAATATGGACTTTGCTTCTCTACTTTCACTTTGCATATATGTCTTTAAATGACTTCCTCCTCAAATGGATTTGTCAAAGGTTATTTAAATAAAAACATGTACATTGAACCAATATCTTTCCTTAAAGAGATGTCTCTCAAGAACGCCAAGCACATAGTTGGACTAAACAGTCACATTTGAGTACATGGAACCACTTACAATGAGATGCATTGAAAGCCTTACCCTTCCGATGCTGCCACCGCCTGCGTGAAGGGATGCAGGACATGCGCAGAGCTGTTGCAGCAGCTCTCACGAGACTGACTGTTAGGGGCGTTGCTGATGAGTTCGTGGTCACACGGTGCAGGCCTCACTACAGTGGCTTGAGATGACTCCCATCAAGCTGCTGGTGCAGCCTACTCAGAGGCCTGAAGGCCGGACATATGCCGAATACGAATCTGTGAATGAATGCATGGAAGGCATCTGTAAGATGTTTGAAGAACACCTGAAGCGAATGAACCCCTTCAGCCAATCCATCACGTACGGCATCAGTCAGTTGTTTGAGTTTATCGACCGTCTGGTGGACCTCAGCTGCCTCGTGTTCCGAGAAGATACCCAGACTTACAAGCCGTACAGCCGAGAGTGGATCAAAGAGAGAATCTACGTGCTCCTTACTCAGCAGGCATACCCAGCTGGGTCATAGTGATTTGGAAGCTTCTGGGGCTAGGGCTGGCTTGGACGACAGGTGTGTGTGGTTTGGTGGGGATCACTTTGAACCATACCCTATTTTTTCTTCTTTCTGTTATGTGATGGATGAGATATGGGCCTCTTTTTACTCTGAAAACTTCATTCCCCTTTTCACTGATTTTAATCTTTAACATAGTTTTATGATGCTATAGATGGAAATGGTTCACGTCTGCTTTATGACATTCACTATGCCAACTGTTTGAGGTAACGAGGGAGGTGACACTGATATATGAGGCTCTCCAGATTACGCAGTGAAAATAAGTTTAAACAGGATGGCAGGGGCATCAGGAAAGATTCGTTTAAGCATCCGATTTTGGAGAATTCTCTCACGGTGACTTAACTCAATTAGTTATGCTCCTGGTGAGGCAGAATAGGATGGCATCAGAAGGAAGACACTGGGACCAATCACCTCATAAATAGAAGGAAGCAAAATGTCTAGGCAGGAGCTGGGGATGCTCAAGGTATAATGTAGAAAGTCAGCAACCGGTGATCCATACTCAGCACATAGGTGCCAAACATCACTAGCAGCTATGAGCACGGAGAGGTGAGTTTCAGATTCATATCATAAAATACACATGATTTTATATTCCACTTTGATTCTATTTTAATAAGTATAAATGAAATCTAATAAATACATTTTCAGTCCATACATACATGGCCAAAAGAGAACAATGAATTTAATTATCATTATTATTTCTGGTCATGTATCTAACCCTGCATTCCCTTAATTTTACGCATCTTTGGATCAGCAGAAATGTGTTGCACTTCTCAATTTCTGACATTTTTTAATTGACTGATTAACGTTTGTCTCTTTTCATCATAAACAAGATTGTATAATAACCTTATGATTAGTGAATGACTTCTCTCTCCTACATCTAAGTGGGGATGCAAACGAATGTGGATGTGAAGCACATTAGAATATGACCTCTCTAGTGCTAATTAAATTAGCTAACAGTTTGAAGCAAATAAAGATAACTTTCTGATGACTGACTTCTGTGATAGCTGCAGCAACCCCAAGGAACTGTTATTGCCTTCAGCCCCCGTTTTGCAAATAGGAAAGTAAATCTCACAGAACACAGATTGTTCAAATGCATATCTTTAATAATTAAATGAAGACAAATTATTTCTTCCTCATCATTCTTTTACTGTACTCATCTATTATGTATAAGTATTTTATGGTTGGGCAAGTGGCTATTTTTCTATTTGTAAATAATGGTGTCCATAGGATACTATTAAATCTAGATATGGATTATGCTGCTGGACACTGAAATGAGGCATTCAGTGACCTGCTTTGGTTTCTGTGTATCACTTGGATTGTTTCCACTGATGTAATTCTGAAATCTAACTAGTATATAAATACACATGTCACCTTCGTTTGTGAATCATTTAAATTGATATTGTTACTTTTTAACATTTCATTTTAGTTTTTTGTTTGTACATATGTGTAGGCACATGCATCCCGTGATGGGCTTGTGGGGAAAAGAGAACAATTAAAAGGGTCAGTTCTTACCATTTAGTGGACTCCAGGGATTTAACTTGGGTGTTCAGGCTTAGCAACAGGTGCCTTAACTAACTGAACTGTCTCATTGCCCCCAAATTAAGATGTTTCAAGAGATGATCTCATATAGCCAGGGTTTACCTCAAAGTTGCTTTGTAGCTGTTAATGAACCTTGAACTTCATGTCCTCTTCTCCTTAGCACCCATGTGGTGGGATTACAAGTCTCCACCCATTCCTGCCTTATGTGATACTGAGGACTTAACCCAGAGTTTTCTCATGCTCGTCAAACACCCTACCAACTAATCTACATGACTATCCCTTTGACTTATATAAACAATACCCTTTAAAGGAAGAATAATATATAAAATTCAGTACTGCCCACTGTAGTTTTCATGTACTATAAGATCTTCTTGTGCTTTTGGATAAGTAGAACAGGAAGCACTGTGTATAACTCAAACTAAGCAACAACAGGAGGATAACTGGCAAATGAATGTCTGCCAGGTAATATTTTGTCATTATCTTTCCAAATTCAAATTCCTGATAAACAAAATGAAAGATAGCACTTGTGAAAGCTACAATATTAACTGTCTAGGCTGAAAAGACTGCAATGACAAAGAATCAAAATAGTGCACAAACAATCATTTGTTTATAAAGAACAACCATATAGGTATATACAAATAACCACAGGAGTCTCCTTGGCACTCACTAGCCAGCAGTAATACCTGTTTGGCAAGTTGTAGGCCAAGGACAGAGGACAGTTTGTTAATATAGCCATGTTACATGGTCCCTGAACAGTAGCACCAAGTAGCATGTGCACGCATGCACACATGTACCTGAATATATGTGAGCATTTAAACACAGCAAATACATATGCAAAGTTCAATAATATAAAACATAAAACTCTGCATCTGTGTTGTAACATGATTAGTTTAGAATAGCAATGATATAAACAAGCAGTGCTGTATATACATAATAAAATAATTTAGAAAATGGGGAAGTTTTAAAAATTTTTTTACTTTAATTTTAAATAGCTTGTTTTACATGTCAATCCCAGTTCCATCTCCCTCCCCTCCTCCTGCTCCCCCATCCCCCCCAGCCTCCCACCCTATTGCCAATTCCTTCCACATAGGGGATATCTAGAGTCTGTCATTTCTTTCAGAGTAGGGTCCAGGCACTCCCCTAAGAGTCCAGGCTGAGAGAGCATCCCTCTTTTTGATATGGGCACACGATGACTGTTTGTATTCCAGGGATAGCCACTGATCCACTGCTCAGGGCCCCATAGGTTGCCCAAGCCTTCTTCAAGGGGAAGTTTGAAGTATAATGTGAGAAAAATATATATGATAAAGTGTGTACCAATGTATGTTTCTTTTGATATGTTTTCCTGAATATATATATACATATATACATATATATATATATATATATATATTGTTTTATTGACCCACAGGGAAGATTCGTGATCAAAGACGCAAGAGTAAGCTGTAGCAACGAGCTATTTCCCATGGAAGGCTACACCTAACCTGCAAATTATTTTTCTTCACATGAGCTTTGAAAATATATGGCCTTGAAGTCTGTGTTGTCACCTACCAATAAAATTCAAAACAAATCATAGTAAAAGAATCATGTTAAGTTGCTTTAAGTTTTAGAAATGTGCAAATGGAGGTATCACTGTCTCCCACCCACCTGTTTTAAGATTTCTGGCAGCTGCTTCCCAAGTTACCACACAGAGGATTTTATTAAATATAAATGTTTGACCCATTATATCAGGCTTATTACTAACTGCTCTTACATTTAAACTAACCAGTTTCTATTAATCTATGTATTGCCATGTTTCTCATGGCTTTCCTTGTGCTCTAGTACATCTTGTTCCTCCAGTGGCTGGCTGGCGTCTCCCCCTGTTTCTACCCTTTCTGCCCGGCTTTATTCTGCATGGCTACAGTCCAAACCAGCTTCTTTAGTAATGAATGAGAGCAACACATATTCACAGCCTACAGAAGGATTAACCAACAGCAGATATGCTATATGATTTGCATGCTAGAAGAATATTGATATTACATCTTTTCATCCTTCTTTACCTTTTACCCATCACCTATTACTTGTATTTATGTTCATCATCATTGGATTTTGGATTTTGCCTTGAGATAAGTAAGGAAAGAGTGGATTCTAGCAAGTTGAAGGCTATCATCTTAGAGTTCCATAGGAAGCTTGGAATGATTGTATGTATTAAGCTCAGCTGTAGAAGTGGGAATGCAGACAGACTGAATAAAGGAAAAAAATGAGGTACCACAAGCTTCTAACAGAAACCAATCACCATCTCATTAATACTGGGGCTGGAAGTATCCCTGTAATCCCCTCTTTATTTTACTGCTATTATTATTATTATTATTATTATTAGTAGTAGTAGTAGTAGTAGTAGTAGTAGTAGTAGTGGTATCATTAATTATTATATTCTAACAAGGTTAGCCCATTGTACCAATATTAATCTGATCTAAACCTCATCTAAGGGGGTAACATTGGAAGTGAGCTTGTACTTATTGTCCCTGTACTCCCATTTTTCTGTGTGGGTTCCTTTTGTTTGACCCAGATGGAAATGATGAGCAGGTCTCAGAACTGGTTCTCTGCTGTTTGTGTGTCTAGAGTTACAGCTCCCAGGCCTTGGATATCAAAAAGCTTGCACATTACAGCGTTGGTGGTGCTGCTATTGTGCCTTGCACAGCAGAACCTACCCTAGGTCATCAGGCCCTAGCTCCCTAGAACTCCTGCAGTAACTGGACCACACAGGCTCTGCTGTGGTCTGTTACGTTCTCTGTTTCCTGACACAGATGTCCCAGAGTGCTCTTTGAAACCTTTCGGTTACCTTCGTACCACCACTGGTGCTGCAAACACTGCTGTCATTTCCTCATTATTTTTATTGTTTATTGTTGTTGTTACTGTTACTGTAACCTGGTGAACTCACTGTACCAATGGCAAAGTCATTGGAATGGAGTAGCATGGTTGTGATGTCCAAATGCAATAAAAGAATTTTCACCAATCACAGCTTAACTTCTAGTTCCACCAAAATTCCTTAAGAGTTAGTGCAGTGGGCCAGGGTAGCAGAGCCTGCCAGAGTAATGAATAGAATTCAAAGTTAATACAGCTCATGATCTCCATACTAAATGACCCAGGGGCAATTCACTCATGCTAAGCACGTGCTTTGCTGCTGACCCACACTCCTACCCCAGAGACTGGTAATTTAAATGGAAATATTTCATTAAAGCAATTAAATACTGCTGTTGCATTCATAAATAGGCACATACCTCCCTTTTTGTCTATCCCTCTCATTCATATACAAGCATAAATGAGACAAAGAACCATATGTTGTAAATAAAACACCTTTTCCCTAATGTGGGAGAGTAAGGATTGTGCTTGAGGTCTACATTAATGTCCTATGAACTAAAAAGGTGATATGCAAGTATAAAGGTACAAATATCCTGGAAAACATGACTCAATACAAGTAGATTAAATTTAAGGCATAAAATAACAGTATTTAATAAGTAAAAATAACTGGAGGAGGGAGGGGAATGGATAGCACTATCCAAGACCTTGAGGTGTTATGCAATGGAAAAACCAGTTAATCTGAGGAAATTATATTTGTGTACTGAAACCTATGTCTGCCATCACTTGCATGATTATATGGGCATGAAGAAATACAAATTTTTCTCAGTGTTTTGTATCAGTTTTTTTCCTAGTTGAAATGTTACTTTCTGGAGAAAGAAAGAATGGAGGCTCATAAGCCTCTAGAGGTTCATAAAATGTACCAGACACAGGAAGCCCCTCACCCAGGATACACCTGCTGTAACTGGAGGGGGGACACATTTGGATGGAGATGACTAAGAGTTGCACAGGCAATTACAGATACAGATTTTGGGAATTGTCACACTAATGAGTCTGGCTTTGTAGAGATGCAATTGCCTTTATGTTGCCCATGTTTCTGTAAGTAAACCTTCACACACATTCCTCTAAGCAACCTCAGTAAACTGAATGATTAAACAAATAAGTCCTGCTCTATTTTCCTGTTTGTATTCAGAGTTTTAATTTTGTGTATTTTTGTCTTTTTTGCCCGAGTTTAATGTTTCATTTCATGATCACAAGTTCAAAATGCCCATTTATTCAGTTTTTAATTTATTATTTTAAGTTTCTCACAAACATACAGCATATTTTCATTTGTAAAAGTGATTGCTACCTGACTAAGTTATTAAATTGTGGGGTTGTATGTTACTTATTAATCCACCAGATAATTTTCCTACTAGTATATTTTCCAACATTCCTTTGGTTGGGTTTTGTGTGCCCGTTTTTTGTAAATGGTGAATGTTCTGTTGAAAGTACATATAGAAAGACCTATTAATGTGTTATCCTTACTCAAAATTTAAATGTAATATGGGAAAAGCTAGTTTATTTCGGTTCATTCGTAACGTTGAGATCATAAATGTTTTTTCTGTCCACTGAGGATTTGGACTATTGTTTCCCATCATTCCACATTCTCTTCCCTTGGCTTGTGGAACTTGAGTTTTCTTGGGCATTTGTTCTTCCTTATTCCTCCAGGCATTTTGTTTTGCCCCTTACTTTGAATTTGACCTGATTATTCTGCTTTCTTTTTTTAAACTATACTATTCCATTCATGTTCATTTTCATTCCTTTTCACACTTCTTTCTTGTTAATTATCTTTCTGGTAATTTTTAATTTTACAGCCAGACTTAACAGCTAAAGCCTTCTGTTTTGTGAATTGTTTCATTTCTTTATCACTTATTTATAGTTTAATATGGATGCAAGGATGTTTTACAACTCTTTTACATTTTCTTCCCTTTTTTCCCCTCACTGAATTATATCAGTTTTCTTTGGGAACACATACTCTATTTTATTTTTCTCTTTCCCTTTTCTCAGCTGAAATAGGAAGCATTTTCTAACATTACTAATCATCATTCTCTGAGGTGTTCAAATATTGCTACAATATCTGTATCAGTGTCCTTGGACCCAAACTCTTCTTGTTCTATTACTGTTTTTCTGACTGGACAAGATGTTGAGAAGTGTCTATCTGGCATGAACTGCTGCTGATACACATCAAACCCAGAGGAACACCCTGGGATCATAACTCTCATCTGTAGTTTTGTATATGTACACACACACACACACACACACACACACACACAATCATTTAGCTTATTCTCTAAATATCATTGCCACCACAAAATATTTTTAAAAGACAGTCACTTTGTAGTTCATAATGTGCCTCTTTTTCAGATGGAAATATTGGGTTTGATTTTTCCTACACTTCTCCCTGGAATAGCCTCTCACACTCAAATTGACTTATTTAGATAACTATTCCTTATCTAAGCCTCTAAAACATTTCCCCAATAATTTGTGACAAAGTAGCCAGATCTGATTCTGATTTTTATCTTTTACAACTGATTGTAAATATTTGGGTGTTTTTTTCAAACCAGTCTCATTGCCATTTTACTATCATTATCCCTGGTACTGCAGTACTCTAGTTACTAGAATACAGTAGTTGATGTGTACACTGTCCTGGTGTCTCAGCTGAGTGATCTCCTTTATTTCATTATTGTATTTTATGTACCTTTGTTTTATTTTTAAGCATTTATTATTATTTTTGAGGTTTTAATATAATTGCATCATTTCTCCATTCCTGTTTCTCCCTCTAACCACTAACATGTAACTCCTGGCTTTCTTTCAAATTCATGGAGTCTTTTTTCACTACTTGGCATAGCATTCATGCATGTACGTATATATTCTTAAATACAACCAGATCCTTTGGCACATTGTTACATGTATGTATGTTTTAAGGGCTGGACATTTGGTATTGGGTAACCAATTGTTGTGCTCTTTGTAGAAGACTATTTCCCCTGCTCTCAGCATTCCTTAATTGCCTATGGTTCTTTGCATATGGGTAAGGCCTCATGGACCTTTTCCTGTTCCTTTGGTGTGTCTAATGTGATAATCCATACTCTGCTCATTTTTAGGAAGTAATTTTTAATTTATATTAGAAACAAGCTTGCTTCATATGTCAATCCCAGCTACCTCTCTCTACCCTCTTCCCCCATCCCCTTTAAAAACTCCCACAAACCCCAACCAATCCCCCCTCCACTCTCCAAGGAGGTTAAGGCCATTCAGGGAGGGGGTATCCAAAATCTGTCATATCATCCCTGGAAGGGCCTAGACCCTCCCCAATGTGTCCAGGTTGAGATAATATTCCTCCATGTGGAATGGGCTCCTAAAGTTCATCTGGATGCCAGAGATAAATGCTGATCTATTGCCCAAGGCCCCAAAGAATGCCAAGATCTACTCAGTGACATCCACATTCAGGGGGTCTGGATTAGTACCATGCTGGATTCCCAGTCTGGGGTTCAAGAGCTCCCCCTTGTTCAGGTCAGTTGTTTCTGTGGGTTAAACAAGCCTATTCTTGACCCGTATGCTTATCAGTCCTCCCTCTTGTCACTGGATATCTTGAGTTCAACTCAGTGTTTAGCTGAAGATGTCTGCCTCTGCTTCCTTCAGCCACTGGATGGGATATTAGGAAGTTGTCAATTACAATATCGGGGAAGGGCATTTACGGTAGC